GACATCCCCCCGGACACCACAATTTCTGTAATGAAAAGAATGAAAGAGAGAGATGGAATAAGCATGATATGTTATGGTACAGCCACTTCACGATAGAAAAACCATCATGTAAAGTGTCAAGTAGAATGTAATCCCACCAGTGTTTCAAAAACTGGACCAACCGGTTGAGACATGTTAAAGTAACATAAAAGTAAATTCATATCAATGAAACAGTTGTTGCGTTGGTTTATATGCATATGTGAATCAACCAGATGTAAGCCCAACCACTCTTGTGTCAGTAAATTATGAGGACAAATGAAAGGGAGTCCCTCACCGATTCCTTCACGGACCGATAGATTTGGTCTGATAACATCATTGGTATTGATGAGGAATATATCACCAATGTAAAGATGATTCGTGGGAACATAGACACAACATAGATCTTCTTCACCGGAGTAGGTCTGCATTTTAAAAATGAAAAAAAATAAGATCAACATTCTTGATATTGAAATTGCCTGATGTGTCTTATTATATCTCATGGGTTTTTAGGAAAGAAAACGTGATTTAGAAATGAATGTCAATGACACCATGGAGAAATTATAGTTTAGGAACAAAAACTTCCTTTGCCCACCTGTAGATTAACAGACGAAGTAATGAACCCAAATGCATATTCACCAATACGAGGATGCCTTATGATAGCTACTTCCTTGAAGGCCTGGGTGTTCTGATCTGAAACAGAATAAAGATATAAAACATGGAAGTGTAAAATATAGAATGTCACTATCTGAAATAATTTTATTAACATGACCAACTAAACTAATTTATGTTATGTTGAAGAAAACCAGCAGAATGCACACCTGGTGATATAGCAGAACTAATCTGCTTGGAGGCATTGTAGATATGACGAACAAATGGCATCCGTTTGATAAACCACTCACCAAGGCCTAGGACAGATGCTCCCAACCATGACGACATGAATACCCCAACCAAGAAGATGAATGTTATAGAAGTTACAAATCCAAGACCTAAGGAGAAACCATCAAGAGGCCTTTTAAGTTAGCCAGATAGTACATACCATAAAAAGAGATTCCTAACAAAAAATGACAAATATATTGACATTAGTACATGTAATAAGGGTAAATTATTTGCAAAATGACACCAGTTGAAAGTCATTAGCATTCTTGTAGTGTATATAGAAATAATATACCATGTTAAGGATATGTAAAACTACAATTTAATAACCTCTTTACCCCAGGCAAAAATGTCCAGAATATATACATATATCTGTGTGTCTATTTATTTTCATGCTATCAAAGTCTCATTCTTGCCAATTTCATACGAATAATGCTTAATAAGTATCACTTAGGCTACAAGCACAAGGAAATTTTGAAAAGATAGTATATGATAATAAGTATCATCCAAGCTCTCACAATTAGCAATTTATCACAATTTTCCATAATCCCTCAAAAAAATTGCAGTGCACACAATCCTCCATCATTCAGCGCCCTTAAGGAAAGATTATAAATTTACAAACTTCAAGGTCCAATTGAAGGAAAGAGTAAGGATTTAATAAACCATTAAACAATTTCACAGGTCTAGAAGGGAGATGCAAAGAAAAGTTTTTAAGCTGCTAGCTAATTTAGATGCTCACCAAATATATCAATGCCGAGTTGAGCATAAATTGGAGAGAAAAAGCCATCCACAAAGTGGATAAACCACCATGTTATGTAGAAAGTGATTGCTATTGGAAACAGAATCACACTGCAAAACAACAATGAATCAGCTATGTCTGTAACAACATAGTGAATGATAATAGAATTTCCATAAGATAAAAATTCCATTAACATATTTACTATTAGAAACCAAATCTAAGAAGTTTCTGAGTCATCAAGTAAAAGTTTACCACAGATTCATGATGGTAAGAACTACCAATTCAGTAAGATGATAGATAAGTAGCAGAGGAGATTCATGACAAATCAAAAGCAGGGAGATCAAAGAATGCAGCTTACCATCCCATCATGAATTTCTTTGAAGCCCAGCTCCGGAAAACTTGTAAAAGGTCTAGATAAAACAAAGCTTGTCAGGCAAAAATTTCAAAATAATAACGTACAGTTGTCACTACATGAGTACATAAGCAAGCATAAGCATATAGTTCCTACACAAGCAAGTGGCTGAAAACATCTGTGTTCAAAGATTTCAAACCTATGCCGTAGACCAGAAAAAAACTGACAAGTCTCATAACCAGAAGGGTGACTTCAAATTCAAACATGTATATGATTTCAACATCCTAAACTCATCTGAGGGGATTTACAACAGAAATAGAATGCAAAGAAACCAGTATCATATACGCTTTTTGAGCGGGGCTTTAACATGACTTATACAGTAATTAAGCTAAAATATAAAACTCGGATACATGCAAAAACTTACATAGCCTCTAAGAGAAAAAGGAACGCAACCATCAGTCTTATATTCTGGTTTAAAAAATAGAAAAGAAACAATCACAAATTTTTCAACAGCTCCAATAAATTATATTGTAATCCTACAAACACAATAAAACAGTTCATTTTCATATAAATATTCTAAAAATCAATTTAAATCATCCAATTTTCTCTCCATTAACAACTAAACATTCAATCGATATCGCACAAGCTCCATTATGATAATTGATTGCAAACTTTCCATTATCCAAAAAAAAAAACAGCTGCAGTAGACCAAGTCAAATCGAATCCAATAAAAAATGCAACTTCAATTAACAACCAAAAAATATCTATTTCAAAATATGTTTTCCTAAAAAAGAGAGACCTCACGGCCGGCGTGATGCGAAGAAGATGAAGGAGAAGGTTTGGAGGAATCATCGTAGGGAGAGTCGGCGACCGGGATTAGAAGCTCTCGATCTCTACTCTCTCTATCTCTACTCGCCATCACGATCATCGATTTGTCATCGCCCATCACCAAAAATTCTCAGCTGCTACTAATCTCCCCCCACATGTAATCCCAAAAACCCTAACTCGCATCGACCTTTTCCTTCCAACTCACTGATGATCAATCACGAACAAGAAACAAAAATCACACACACGTGTATATATATATATATACTTATATAGAGATAGATAAATTCAATTTTGGAAATTGAGATGAATCAAGGGATATAGGTAAGAGCAAGTGCTCTGTGAAATCTATGCTTCCTTCCTCAATTTCGACTGTGTTCTTGTAATTAGCTTTTTTAGTTAGGCTAAATTGCTCTCTATATCACTCAACTTTAGTTTTTATATCGAATTTACTATTCAATTTTAAATTGATATTATTGAGCCGCTATATTCTAAATGGCATATTAATGTGGTCGTTTTCTTTCTCATCAGTTTAATGATAAAACTTTAAAATCACTAAAAATTCCGATTATGCTTGCAATTAATTAGCACATGTCATCATTCATAATAAGATGGGTAAACTACATAATTGATCGTTTATGTTTTATCTAATTTTATTTTTTGATTTTAAAAAATTATAATATATGATTACTTTATTTTTTATTTAATTAAGAAGCGATCACCACAAGTTAATTATCGTTAAATTTTTTTGGAATAACCACACATTTGATCATGTTATTTATATATTCTCTCAATTTAGTATTATTTTTAATAAATTAAAATAGATTTAACCCTCCAATCTGTATGTCGTGCCACGTGTCACTAGTACCGCAAATGGTCCATTGACTATAAGATATTGCTTTATTGAGTCTCTCGACTATTAAAAGTTACAAAATGTTCTTCTAACTATAGGAAGTTACTTTATTGAGTCCCTTGACTATCAAAAGGTACAAATGATCACCCGACTATTATTTATGTTTCAAATTTGTCATTTTTCGTTTAAAATTTGACGACAATGTGAATTGTACGTTAATATGCTGACTAAGATATGATAAAATTTAATCTCATAATATCAAACGATTATCATATCTTAGTCAATATGTTAACGTTCAGCTCAGGTGACCGTTAATTTTTTTTTAACAAAAAAGACGAATTTGGAACAAAATGAATAGTCGAATGACCACTTTATAACTTTTAATAATGACTCAACAAAACAACTTTTAATAATTAAAGAACTCAATAAAATTGTATCTCATAGTCGGGATCATTTGTATACTTTATTTTATTATTTATCAAATGAAATGTAACGGACATTTTTCTGAAAGGTTCTTATATTAAAATACGATTACAATTAATATTTAGAAAAATTCTAAGGGTAAACTATTTTTTGTCGCTTAATTTTGTTTGTATTTTTATTTTATTCATCCAATTTTAATGTTTTAATTTCGTAATCAAATTTTTAAATTCTATTTATTTTGATTGCGTGGACGTGAAGTTTTTGAAGTAGTTTAAACTTTTTAGATAAATTTATGTAAAAAAAAATTATATTTTTGAAAGATGAGAAAATTTCCCAGAACTTTGTTAAACCTATTTGGAGTAAATTATGTATTTAATAATATATATATATATATATATATATATATATATATATATATATATATATATTCTTAAAATTATGTTTTATTCCTTCAGTTATTTAAAAAAATTATATATATATATATATATATTTTTTGATAACGTAGGACCTCTCAAGGCCAAGCTAAAGAACCCGACCCTACAAGACAACCTCCGGAGGAACTCAACCCACCACTCTGTCTCCCGCTTTTTTCCAAGATTCTCAGTCAGCGCGGTTTGAACCTAGGACATGAGACCAGCTCATAATATCAAGAGCCCTTGCTTTACCAACTGGGCCACGTCTTCGGTGGTAAAATTATATTTAACAAGAGCTTTTTTGGTTATTTACATATTTTCAGTTACTAAAACTTGGGTTATTTACATATTTTCAGTTACAGCAATGAAACTATGAGTTTGAATGGGAGAAAATGGCCAGCAGTTTCAACTTTGTCTCTAGTGTTGATGCATTACTGACCTTGTTGAAGCTATTGAATCTGCAGATCTGATGAACCGTTTTAACAAGTTGTTAAGGAGCAAAATTTATGCACAAATCTCTGCAATTATTCCTCTTAATAGTTGCTTTTCTATATCTTCCGCTACTTGTATTGTGTCATCCATTGAGAATCCTTTCTTCCAACCCAAGTCCCATATTCCGCTCAAAGCTTCACTGTGGTTTCTATCTCTTTCCAGCATTGCATAAAGGCCATTGGTGGGGTAGTTTTCATCGGCGAGTTCGCTATAGCTTCTCAGAGCTTCGACACCTTCGCGTGTTTCCTTTAACAAATGGTCTAGAGAGACATGCCTTTTGGCATTTCCTACCAGGCTTGACCAGGGATGGTGGATCAGTTGAGAATCGGGATGGCTTTTTCGTTGAACAATTTCGTTCGCACAGTCCAAGGAAAGTCGTGTGTTGTCAAAAGCTGGACTGCTCAGTAGCAACGCCTTTAGACCAGTTGCTGTCATGAAGCTTTCATTGTCGGCACCAATAGGAGTGATGGGTTCATCGTCGTCTCCGAAAGATTGTCTGCTGTTTTGATCATTGATAGTAACCGGAGTGATGGGATCATCATCGTCTCGAAAAGATTTTCTGCTGTTTTGATCATTGATAGTAACCGGAGTAACATCATAAACAGAACTCTCACAGCATTGTTCTACTGGAGAAACAAGACAAGAGAAAAGAAATAGTCAGAATCTCAACATGACAGTCACTGTGGGTTTTGGAATCTATGTTGTCGACTCCGAAGAGGAAGTTTGAGGAGGTAGTTTCAGCATTTGAAGAGAGAAACGGCAAATTCCAGCATGTAATTATTTAAATATGACAGACATTGTATATGCAATAACATCAGAGATGTCACTATATGTATATACATCTCCAATGTGAGAAAATGGCATCTGGCTAATGTAAACAGTGATTTGATAAAATTTCAGGCACAAAGGGTGTTACCTTCAATCTGAATATCAGTGTGGTCTGTTTCCTCTTTTGTAGGAACATGATCCGCGGTTTTGGTGCTATATCCTTCCAAAACAGTGCCATCATTTGATGCAAGATCAATCCTCTTTTCATCCAAAACTGTATCGTTTTCGGATGCAAGATCAATTCTCTTTTCTTCCAAAACAATATCATCTTTTGATGCAATATCAATCCTCTTTTCTTCCAAAACAGTATCATTTTCTGATACAATATTAATCTTCTTTCCTTCCGAAACAACCTTATCTCCTTTGCATTCGAACTTTTCAGTCTGCACAGAAGGTAAACCGCATTTAATAACGTTTGATCCTATTTTCATAGCTCAATACGTGTAGCAAATGCATTTTAAATCTCGTATGTCAACATGCTACTTAATGAAATTAGAATTATAACGGCAGAAAGTAAACTTAAAAGGACTCACAGTTATTTTAGCTCCGGTAGGCTTGCTCACTGCGTTTTTCGTTGAACTCTTTTTCACATCAATGGGGGCACGAACCGTATTTCGTGGTCTGCGAACAGAGTTGGAGTTTGTGGTTGGACTTGGTTGACTTGAAATTTTATTTTTCATAACATTTGATGCATTCTCGGGATTACTGGGCTTTCGAGGGACAACCTCGGCTTGATCTTTAGACCTTGATAAATTCTTTGCTTTTGCAACCTCCTTGACAACTGGTTTCCTGCTGCTTATCATAGGCTTTGGTATCACGTTTATGTTCTTTGCAGTTGCCACTTTCTTCGCAGATGGCTGAGTTAAAGAACCTGAACTTTTCAACTTAGTAGGAAGGCTTTGTTTAATTTTCACTGGTCTGGTCCCATTATATTGACCGTCTTTTCCACCTTCCTGCTGGATAAGTCTCTTCACTGGAGTTTCTTTTGCTTCCACTCTTCTGCTCATTTTACTGAAGTTCAAACCTCTATTATCCGGATCGAATATTTTGGAAGGAGAATCCTCTTTTACTTTCGGCTTTTTGAGCATTGTTTCGATGTTTGAGCTTCTTTCCTCCGGAAACATTGGCTCAAACTTCTCTTGCGGTTGCAGATGCGGATCACGTCGAGGTTTTATGAGTACAATAGGTGGACTGTTGTTAATCAACCTGTTTCCGGAAAAGAAGTCACTTGATTGATAGGAATCAGGCTTAATCTCTTTGATGGAGTTGTTTTTCAGAAGCCCTTTAAAATGCATGGTCTCAAGGACATCCTTCAGCGTCTTATCCGGATCTTCTGTTCGTAAAACAAATTGAGACTTCCATACTTTCGGCGTATCAATTTCAAAGGTAGGTCTTTGTTGACTGAAAGTCTTGTTTTTCTCCATAACATTCTGAGAATGCGTCTGCAGTGATTTTGAAGGCATTTCTTCAAGTCCCATAAGCTTTGCGATCAAACTCGGGCCCCTTGTCTTGTTCTCGTCAACTGCCGAGCAGACAGACGAATCCATGGAAGTAAAGTTGTCGGTTTGGAAAGAAGAAGATCGACTCAAGCTTGTGGACGGGATATCTGAAGCTGAATCCGGATATCTTGAACTAAAACATCTCTTTTCTTCAGCATTTATGTTTGGCAATAGATTTTGCCTAGCTAAGCTATCTCTAATCACCTCCCTAAGCTCGTCGATGCAATCTCTTGAAGAAGCACCGGTTGAAAGGTGCGAATTCTGGATTCCCTTCTGAGAATTCCGCTCACCGATTGGACTCGAATTCACTCTCCGAATCAATTGATCATTTCTCCCCTTATCAGATCTTTCCTTCCCTTTCTTCTTCAACCTGGCCAGATGAGATGCTTCTTGCAACTTCCCTAGCACGTGTAAAGAATCCTGCAATTCGAGAGCTCCTTTCAACAGATCTTTCGCTATATCTTCCGAATGCTGATCGCACCAAATCCCCCCTCTCGACCACGAGTTGTTCACCTGGTTCAGCTTGTGAGCCCCTCTCGAAACCTCCACCAGCTGACAGGAAGATGAGCAAAGAAGTTCTTCCATGGCACCGTTCGACACCGTCTCTTCTCTTTCCACCTTACTCGATACTCGACCTTTGTTCTTGTGCTCCATCTTCTTCGCGGACTCAACGACTCCCTTCGGATCATCACACATAACAAACGATCTGTAAACAATTGACCTCAGACCGTCTCGAGGCATATTCTGTTTATCCAAAGCATTTTCTAATGTCAGGTTACACGACAAAACTACAAACACTCCAAACACCAAATCAACCAACACTAAAAACATAATCTAATAACCAGTCTTTTTCAAAGATTGTTCAAAACATACAACAGCAACAAATGTTCAGCCCCGGTTCAATGAAAACAACACAAGCAACATCCTTAAATCACTTGCTGCCGTCCCAAATAAACAAAAAAAAACAAAACTCCATTTCCTTTTGGAAATTTTCAAACTTCAGCTACTGAATTATCTTGCATACCAAACAGATCCTTCACTAAAACCAAAAGTGCCATCTTTTACGAACAAATCAACTCAATCTTCTCTCATTTCCCAAAAGAAGGCAGGACAAAGAAGGCCCAGATGAGAAACTGCATGTAAAAAGAAAAACAACAAAGACCCAAGAATTTAAAAGCTGAATGCTGACCTTTTCTTCCAGTGAAAGAGAAGAGATTCAGATCCAAAGAGGAGAAGAAAGCAGTTAGGAGCATTGACTTAGTTGTTGAATCAATGAAGGGGGATTCAGCTTTTGCTTCCAAATCAAAGAGAGAGAAAAATCTGTAAAATAAAAAAGTTTTAGTTGCTTAGTTTAATGAGACGACAGAGCAAAAGAGATGGTTTGAAGAAGAAGCAGAGTGAGCGGCGTGATTTCATGGCGGTGGGACTTTAAGTTATAAAGTTACCGGACGCGTGTTGCAGAAACAAAGGGAATAAAATAAAACGAAGAAAAACCAAAGGAAATCTGTTGGAAAGCACGACAAGGTAAAGAACAGTTAACAGTAAATTCAAGCTTTTTTTTAGTCAAGTATTTAATACCTAAACCCCACCAATTTTAGACCCAATGCATCTCCCACCTCCTTCAATTTTCCCTCCCAGCTCTTCTCCCTGCGCCTGCATTCATGTGAACTGCAAGAAGAAACGGTGATAAGTTGCTTCGTGCAACAATCACATCAACCATGTTTAAAGTTGCATGGCAGCAATAAGTGCTGCAAAAAACCAAACATAATTTTATATAAAACAATGGCAACAATTATTGTATATAGTGATGGCTTGATATATATATATATATATATGATACCCCGAGTGAAATGAAACAATCACCGAAGAGAATAAAGAAAGGAATGGAAGAAGAAAAAAAAGGTAATGTTTTATTTATTTATTTATTTTGATTATTTTATTCATGAATAGTATAGATGATTTTTTACCATTGTTGTTTAAATTAATTAGTTAGTTTAGATTACTTTTTAGATTAGTTTTTTTAATTAATGTAATGTTTAGATTAATTTATTATTGTTGTTTAATTAATGTAATGTTTCTTATAGATTCGTTCAATGACAGAACAAAATCAACTACTTTATATTGACGTTCAACATATTTCTAGCAATTTGGGAGCGAGGTTATTATTATTTTTTAATAATATATTTTATTTTATTTTGAGAATAAATTATTATATTAAATGGTAGAAGTTTATTTTATGATTAATTAATTAATTAATTAATTAATTAATTAATTAATTTTATTTAATTAATTGTAGGAAGATAAGCAGTGAGTCCTCCGTCATCGACTCAATATTCCCAACAAGCCACACCAGTTGATTGAAGAAAACTTGCAACAGGTCGGATTTTATCAAGTAACATTTGTTCAAGAATACAAGTTGGTCACGAGTTTGATCAGTGCACTAATTGAACGTTGGAGACCAGAAACATATACATTTCATTTTTCGTACGGAGAATGCACGATAACTCTGGAGGATGTGGATATGCAATTCGAGGTCCCAACAAATGGGACGCTAATGGTGCTAAAAATGATTATGAAAATGCATAAAAACTTTGCGATGAATATCTTGGGCAGACATCAGTAAGCCCAAATTTAAAAGGGTGGCGTGAGGCTATTGTGGTTGGAAAATCAATTTAAGTTCAAAGAAAATAGTACGCAACTAGAAATTTTATATGCAACTCGAGCATATATATATTGCAGTTGATTGAGGGAGTTTGATGTCATATAAATATGGTAATATGGTTCACATACAATATATCTCATTTTTGAGTAATTTTCAAAATACTCATCAATACAGTTAGGGATTGACGATATTGGCGTTATTGTACCGAGAGATGTGCAAGACATCATTAACCCTAAGTAATACTAATACAATGAAAATCGGTAGATGTATGATGTTGCTACAATCATGGGTTTGGCATAGACTTTCATTTATAACACTGATTAGTCGAACGGCGATTGACTTTCCTCTTGCCCGAAGGTAATATTTCTATATTTTAATTTTGAAATTTAATTAGAATTTATTTATTGTGATTAAAAATAATTAACGAATAATTTTATTTATATTTAGATGGAGGCATAAAATAGAAAGAACAATGTTGGTGATGGACATTTCTAGCAAAAAAAAATAGATATAATTTTATAATTATTTTATTTATTAAATGAAGTTTAAATTTAGGGATGGCATGACTTGAATCTGACGGGTTTCAACCGACCAAATATTGATTGAATCATTTTTAAAAAAAATTGAGTTCAAGTTGGGTTGGGTCGGGTTTTTTTAGAGATTAGGTTCAGGTTGGATCGGACGAGTTTATGATGAAAAAATTTGACTTAATCCAACCTGAAAATAATATAAAAATACCTTATATATTTAGAGATAATTGCAAGAATACTCCTCTTTATATTTTTTCAATTAAATTCCTATTTATTAAATAAAATTAATAATTTTATATTATTTCGAGTCGGATCAAGTTTCGAATCAAGTAAAATTACTCTAAACTCGAGTCAGATTTCGAGTAGAAATATAAAATTTTCAGATCGGATAAAATTGGGCGAAAACCTAACTCATATCCATCCCTATTTAAATTGATTCATTTATTACTTTTTTTTCAAATTAGGTAAAAGAATTATAGTAGGTGAAAACAATGAAGAAATTAATGCATTCACTTCCCTTTTCTGGCTTAATTGTAAAATACTGTCTGTTCCAAATATTATTAACAATTTAATAAACACGTTCAATTTTTTTATTGTCATTGGTATTTAAATCTATAATCTCTAGAAATAACAATTATTTCTTTAATTATTAAAATAATTTTGTTCGTGCATTTATGTTGATTTAAAATAACAGTAAATCTCATGGACATGGTTGATTTAAATGGTAAGTAACTTGGTATTCCTCAAACAATGTCTCGAGTTCGAGTCTTTATATATATATAAAATTTTTATTGTAAGACATATTCACCAAAACTATACGTGCGAAATGAGTTCGATCAAAAATAATCACGACGAATTACATGACCAATAATTCAAAGCATAATATATATATATATATATATATTATTTAATTGGGGGAAAATGGTCTTCACGATCACATCACTCTTTCCCCTCGAAGAGGACAGTGAGCACATGCATATGGCACATTTATTTCGACATTTTTGTAGTTTAGCCACAGTATTTTGACCAATATACCTTCAAATTAATATTTCGGGTACATTGTTTAATAAGCTCGATATTTTCAAAGAAAATTAATAATTAATATATTATATTAACCATAAATCTTAAATCAATAATACCAAACTAATTCGATTAAATTTTTATTGAAATTTTTAATATGATATTAATGCAAGATTTAACACTAATTATACTAATGCCAAGCATCATAATATTACATGGAATGATAATTTGCCAATTTTATGTACAATATTAAACATTTTATTGAAATGAAGATATGGCATTGAACATTATGTACAATATTAAACATTTGTATTTGGGTCGGGTCGGGTCGGGTATTTTCCACTTGGGCCAGAGCTAGGGATGGGCATGAGACTCGAACTTAACCCGATCCAAAAAATATATAATTTTTCAATTGAGTCACTGTTTTTACAATAATAAATCCAACCCGACCCATGCCCATCCCTAGCCATAGTTGAGGTAATTCAAGAGCACCCAACAGCAGCTAATAGAGTCACAATGGGTTTAGGAGATAATGGGCTCCGAGCTGTTCAACCCACCTGGAAGGAATTTGCATGAGTCAACAACCTAACGTTAGATTTGTTCGATTTGCAATACATGTTACAGCTGTGAGGGTTCATGTGCATATATATAAATTGTACCAATTCCTATGATGGATCATCTCTTATGAATGAAATCAGTATTTCCTTTTATCTTAGATTCTTTTTTCCCTGAAATCTCCATTCCCTCTAATACATTCACCCCTAAAAGGTGATAAGAGCTTTGTGTTGGGAGAGTCATGTAGACTGTGGATAATTTGAAGGGTGGTTCTCTACTTATTCATATTTTAAAGTAGGCTTGAGAAGGATATTTTGTACTGCATCTGGGAGGAACGTAATCATCGTCTGTTTAGAGTTGCTAGTCGATCAGCAAATTCAATTGTTGATTGTGTTAAGGAGATAACAATAACAACAACAACAAAACCCTATTCCCATATGTAATGGGATAAGGGGGAGGTAGGGTAGTAGGCTGTCCCCAACGCCAGGTTGAGAACAACTCTCGTGGAAGACCTCCGACAGTCAAAAAATTAAAAATAAAGATAAAATGCAATGCATGTATAAATAAATAAATAAATACATAGTTGAGCAGTCTTTATATGCAGTCTTCATATGCGCGTTTGTAATGAGAATTAATCCCTGCAAATAAATCCCTGCGTAAAAATCTCTGCATATAGACAGAAACGTAAGACCCGACAAAATTTAAAAAGAGGAAACATGAGGAGAATGATACACAGTAGTCAACGATAGCAAGCTACGAAAAGGAATAAAGTCAAATGTGTTAAAACACAGACTAAGGCAACACTACTCCGCTACCCTAATTCTAAGCTTTTATAAATTCCAATGACAGAAACGTATAAAAAATAGAAGTGATGAAAATTACTACAAAGGACATAAAAGAATACATAAATAATACACCCTATGGATGTGATCTACACTATTCGACTACCTTGGTGTTAAGGAGATAGATAGGATTAAACTGAGTAGGTATGCTATTGATAGAAATGATAGAGTAAATACGAGTAGGTATGCTGAGGTTTTTCTTTCGGCGTTGTCTGCTTGGATAGTCTATGTTGGTGTTGAAATTTGTTTTCTGATGTGATTACTCTGTTTGTAGTAGTTTGCCTGCTTACTATAGTCGTTAATGCTTTAACCCGAGACCTCTAGGAACAACAACGATTTCTAAATTAGTTCGTGCTAATTATGCTTTTAAATTTTTTAAGAAAATATATCATCATTAATTTTGTTTTTCAGTGATATTATATCAAATAATAACACATATATACATACAAGCTAATAATAAAATAAAACGGATATTATTCAACAAAAATTGAATATATTTTATCATCATGATCAAGTTATTATGTTAGTTTTGTTGTACGACTGCCTAATATAAGACTAAGTAAAGGTGTTACTGAAAATGTTAATATTTTTTTAACATTTCCGATAGAACACTACCTAAAATGTTATTTTTTTTTCTACTAGAAAGGTTATTTTCGTTACTTCAAACAAATATTTATGATATTAACATTACCAATAAAAAATAACATTTTAAGTAGCGCTCGATATTAATATTTCCGATAAAAAAAATAATATTTTAAGTAATGTTTTTTTAAAAATGTTAAAAAAATAATAACATTTACTGTAAATAGGGAAGGTCAGATAAGTTAGTTAAAGCAGTTAAACTTGTACGTTTTTTCGTACATTATGCGACATTGATTTGTTGTTTATAATTCATCACGTTTTGTGAAAAACATGCAGACCGCTCATTATCTTGTCGTAAAAACAGTAAACGATAATCGACCACTCGAACCTTTTATTTATTCAACCTCTGCACAGAAACCCTATTGATTTCGTCTTCTCCTCCTCCTCCTCCTTTGTTTCTGTTCATAT